AGCTTTGCAAGCAGAAGCTGTCGTGATCATCGTACTGCAGAGAGAAAACTGCTGGAAGTTGAAAGGCGTGAAGATGATCTTAAGATACGCATCAAATCTTTTAAGTCTGAGTATGTTATGTCAGCTTGAACATTTTTTTTTTGTTAATCAGGATTTCGAGATTGGTGCGTACTTTCTAATTGCATTGTAATATGAGCAAGAACTATCTGCGTGAAGAATAAGGGCCGCCTTTTCTTTTGAATTCCCTAACAATGTTTTGTTCACAATTGCACTGACCCAAAAAGTAGTTAGTTAAGCCCCTCAAATTTTGTGTTTTATGCAATTGTTTATACTTTCCACATCTCATTTTTTATGACTTTACTGTTTTTTCATATTGCATCCTTACCATATAGTTTCTAGTGGTAAGATAAGAATTAAGATTCTCGGCTGTTCGACATGATGGCTTCTTGTTTAGCTTCTCTTGTATGTCGTTGGCACCTGTTTGGTGCCTTTTATGTAATATTATTCATTTTTCTCTAAAAAATAATTCCATATTGCCCTTAACAAAATGTACGTTGAGTGAGTGCTAAAGCAACAATAGGATCTCTCATGATTATCCAACTTACATCTTCAAAGATAGAAAAAAAAGGTAGCAAGGCCCCTAAAATTCTGTTTATAGACAATACTTGTTTTGTTTATGTTTCTGTAGTATTATCTTTTATTGAATTCTATGGTCTGCATGATGCCATAGATGCAAGACAATAAAGAGATTGGTAATCTGGCTAAACTTTTTTTGTTCATGTTATAGATGTGATGCAAAAGAGAAAGAGCTGATGCTTGAGAGGCAATCTTTAAGTGAAAGGCAGAAGATATTGCAGCAAGAACATGAAAGATTGCTTGATTCACAAACTTCACTGAACCAAAGAGAGGATTACATCTTCAATAGATCTCAAGAGCTAACTCAGCTCGAAAAGGATTTAGAAACTGCAAGATCAGGTGTCGAGGAAGAACGTAGAGTCCTGAAGGAGGAGAAATCCAACTTGGAGCTAACTAGGGTTTCCCTGTCCAAAAGAGAAGAGGTATAAAAATATTTTCAGACTTAGCTCCCACTATGTGTATATAATACTCTAATATTAGGTGAGAGCTTGTGTCATGAGATATTGATATTGATCTTTTTGGGTGCTAGGTTGTCATTGAAAGGGAGGTTTTGCTGCATAAAAAGGAGCAGGAGCTGCTTGTTTCGCAGGAAAAACTTGCAAGCAAGGAATCTGTGAGTTCCTTTTGTTTGTTTCTTTGGGAACTAATAAATTTAGCTTAAGTTTTGTTTTTGAGTGAAAATTGAAGCTTATGTTTTATTTTATAATTCTTGTTTTTGATTAATTGTTTAAAGTGGTTGGCTAATATGCTCTGGATTTTTCTTTTCCGTGCACTTTTAAAAAAAAAATCAAATTATGAGGTCATTATGCCTGTCTTTCAAAGAGGAGTAATTATGATGAACAATGCAGGATGAAATGCAAAAGATTATTGCTAATCAAGAAACAATTTTGAGGAAAAGAAAATCTGAATTGGAGGCTGAACTGGAGATCAAGCGGAAATTGGTTGAAGATGAAATTGAGACCAAGAGACGGGCTTGGGAGTTGAGAGAGGTCGATCTTAGTCAGGGGGAGGACTTACTTAATGAAAAAGAGCATGAGTTGGAACTTCAATCAATGGCATTAGCAGATAAGGAGAAGGATGTAGCAGAGAGGTCAAATCTTCTTGATGAGAGAGAAAAAGCTCTGACTGCTTCTGAGAAAGAGATTGAACAGAAGAGAGCCATTCTACAAAAGGAGAAGGAAGAGATCAACAAAATGAAGGTAGATGTTACGAAGACATTGGACTCCCTCGAAGACAAAAGGAAGCAAGTTGATCATGCGAAGCAGAAGCTGGAGACCATGAAGAGTGAGACAAATGAATTGTCAGTTCTAGAGGTGAAACTCAAGGAAGAACTAGATTCAGTCAGGGCTCAGAAACTAGAATTGATGGCTGAAGCAGACAAATTGAAGGTTGAGAAGGCAAAGTTTGAAGCTGAATGGGAACTCATTGATGAAAAACAGGAAGAATTAAGAAAGATAGCAGAACATGTTGCTCAGGAGAGGGACTCTCTTTCAAAGTTTCTGAGGGATGAACGTGAGAGCTTGAGAGAAGAGAAAGATGCACTGCGAGATCAGCATAACCATGCCTTAGAAACATTGAACCATGAGCATGAAGAGTTCATGAGGAAGATGGTGCATGAACGCTCTGAGTGGTTTAGCAAGATTCAGCAAGAGCGTGCTGATTTCTTGTTGGGCATTGAGATGCAGAAGAGGGATCTGGAGAATTGCATTGAGAAAAGACGTGATGAATTGGAGAGTAACTTCAAGGAAAGAGAGAAAACATTTGAGCTAGAAAAGAAAAGTGAACTTCAGCATATTAGCACTCTCAAAGAAAGGGCAGAGAAAGAGTTGGAACAGGTTTCGTTAGAAATGAAAAGACTTGATGCAGAGAGGATGGAGATCAAATTGGATCGTGAGCGAAGGGACAGGGAATGGGCAGAGCTAAATCATTCAATTGAAGAACTCAAGGTGCAAAGGCAGAAATTGGAGAAACAGAGGGAATTATTGCATGCTGATAGAGAGGTGATCCACTCTGAGGTTGAAGAGCTCATGAAGATGGAGGACTTGAAAGCTGCCTTAGATAATATGGCTATGGTAAAAATGCAACAGTCCAATGTGGAGAACAGCCAGCTGAAAGTTTCAGGAGATAGATATTTGAAGCAGCACAATATTATGCAAGATGCTGATTTGGAGTCTCATAAAGAAAAAGATGTTGCCAACGGATGTGGTGGTTCCGACTCGTCTATGCAAAAGCCTGTTGGTTATTCTCCCATGAGCTCAGCTCGTTTCTCATGGATCAAACGATGTACTGAATTGATATTCAAGCATTCTCCTGACAAATCCCTAATGAAGGATGATTTTGGAGAATCTAAAAGGACGGTGGATGTTGTTCCTGATGGTGAGGCAGAGATCAAGGCTCCTATAAAAGGATCTACTAAATTAATTGCTCAACAAGCACTTGTGGCAGGGCGGAAAAGAAGAGTTAATAACTTTTCTGTTGGTAACTCTGTTAATTCACAACTAGTGCACATGCAGAGCAAGTACAAGAAGAGAAAGCAACTGAATGAACCTCTTGTAAAGTTATCAGAAGAGGCCAGTACAGAAAGGTACTAGGCTGTCCCCTTAAATTAAAATTCCTCACATGATCAAACGTGCTCTGGTAGTATAATCTATCAATCTGTTGAAGTGTAATTTATTGCAGGGAACAACCGTTTTCTATCCTTCCTAATTTTCTCTTATGTTTCAGGGTAATTTTAACCATTCCCAATGAGCCAGAGGATAAGCATGAACTGCTATCAACTAGTCAAACTCAGGGAGATGCTGGAGAGACCAGTCTATTTACAGATAGAATTGTGAAGATTTCATCAGTGGTTAATGAAAATGCTGGCTCTGGCAGTCTTGTGAACAAAGAAAAAGTACAGCTGCAAAGTACTGTATCACAACTGGAAAAGGATGTTCTCCATGGTGACATAAAAAGTCATGAGACTTCTGCATGTGCAGAGCCACAAGAGGAAGTGTGTTTGAGAAATGTTGGTCAACCTACTGAAGACATTCAGGTACCTGCATATGGATCAATGGCCCTCAAAAATAGCATTTTCATTTATAGCATTTTGCATATGTTCCAATTCTTCAGTTATTTGTTTCCTTAAGTCTTTTTGTTTGGTGGATTTTTCGGAGGAAGAGATGTTTTCTATAATTGGCTGTAGATTATTATCTCGTGTTCCGTAGATTGTCTTTACCTTAATATTCAAATGCTTTATTCCATGTCTTATTCCTCTGCTTTGTGCAGATGTTAAAATTTTGTTTGGTTTGTTTTGTAGTTGCAAGAATAATTCTTGAACGGAGACACCGTGGTCATGATGTCTCGTATCAGGTGACAGATAGGAGGTGACTGGAAAATTTAAGGACAAGGTCATTGAAATAGAGTCTTGGCTAATCATAACAACCAAGTATAGTTTATTGCCTGCAGTTTTAGACAGGTATGCAAAGACGTAGCTGTTCCTCCAGAATTAGTCTTATCTCTCTGGGTTCGTAAATCAATAACGATCAAGCAGCCTACTAATTAGGATTGTGAAGAAAAAGCAGCAGCATATATTAATTACAATTTTCTCACATCTCTATTTTCTTGCAGAAGCTTGGTGGCTTGTTGTGTTGGGGGATCCCTACTACGTACATGGCTCATTTCTTTTATGAGATCTTTAGAAACTTGTAAATGATATTTGGGGTAACGGCCATCTCCTTTTCTGGTGGGTTTTGATTGTTGTAGGCTAACTTGGATAGGTAGTTTGGTGTTGCGTCTTTTGTTAGATTGAAGAAGTAGAATCTGGTTTGGCATATAGGTTTGTATTATTGGTGAATATTAGGGCAAATATTTGTGGAGATTTTAACTGTGTAAACTTGGTACTGGAAAGATATGGAATTTAGTAAAGAGTGCTCGGTATTAGTCGTTAACCTTGAGCTAGATACATACCAAGGCCTTGCTGATTTTGGAAGTGTGGCATTGACTTGAATCTTTGTGAAAGTCAGTGCATGTAATTGCGAGGATCATGCATCTGTTGGTGTAATGTTTCTGAAGTATATACTGCAACCATCATCTTGTAGCTTCTTAGCTGATCGACTTTGAAGTGTTACGTCTTATTGACCAGGCAACACAGGTAAAGCCTGCTAAGGTACTGTTTGGTTTTTTTTTTTTTTTTTTTTTGTTGGGTTGACGAACGAGGTTATTGTTTGATGAGATTACAAGAGTCTGAGGAGCCTAACGGCTGCGTCGAAGCACTGCAATAGCTGATGCTTAGCTTGGATATGTTCATGCCTTTTTTTTTTTTTTTTTAAATTTAGTCCTCCATTGATAAATGGATAAATAACGTTGGGATATGAGATGCCCGCCTAGTTTGACTTTTTTGTTGTTTGACTGCACTTAACACGAAATAATAAATTAATTTCATTAATAGTTTAGATAACTTAACAAATACTCCGATCTAAAAATAAGTGGAATGTGATAATTTTTAGACAATGAAAATTATAAAATTTATAAATTAAAAGTAAATTATTTAAATATTTGATTAAATTTAGTTTGATTATAATTGAATGAATTGCAAAACTTAATTGAATTATTCAGTTCATCCATGTAATCAGACAAATAAGTTTTATCTTTCCAAATGGTAAGAAGCGATTGCTGTTTTTCTCTATGAATTATAAATTGTAAGCAAATTGTTTGGATGCTTAAATAAAATTAATTTTAATTGTAATTAAATAAACTGCACGAATCTTATAATAATAACTGTAAGTAAGTAAAAATCATAGTTTAACATATGTATTACGTATGCTTTTTATATAACTATACATACACTTATCATTTGGTGACAGAGAATATTAAATGTTTATTTTTATTTTTCTCTTCGAAAACTTCAAAACTATTTTCAAATAATTAGGTTACGGATTAACGATTAGCGTCAGCAGCCAGTCGGCCTCCCTCTCTCTTCCACGTGCTCGTAGAAAAGAAGACTCGCTCTAGTTGCAACTCAACCAGAGAGAAGCCAAACAGAAAACGGAAAATAAACACAGAGAGAGAGAGAGAGAGAGAGAGAGAGAGAGAGAGAGAGAGAGAGGAAAATGGAGAGCGGCGCTGCCTTTTCTGTTCTTCAGCAAAACTACATCCTCTGCCCCTCCCGTCGCAACGGTTCTAGTCGCCTCCTACCTTCATTGCCCTCCGACAGAAAGCATTTCTCTCCTCTTCCGTCCTTCAAGGTTTCTCTTCTTCTCCTCTCCCTAATAACTCTCTTTTTCATCTTCACGATTTCGATTTCGCTTCCAGTTTCAGTTTCGGTCAGTTGTGATTGATGCTCGTGATATGCGCTCTTCTGTTTTCTTTATTTATTTATTTTTTGTCGTTATTTGCAGGTACAGAAACATTTTCCTTCCTCTTCGTGTAGTCTAGGTGTTTCCGCTTCTTCTCTGAGGCGTGAGGCCGTTTTATCGGATGTTTTCAGGTTAGCTTTTGAACTCGTTGATTTTAATTGTTTATGAATGTATTTCGTGTTTTTATGTTTTTTAAATTCTTTTAGCAATGCATGTGTTTTTGGTTTATAAATTGACATGTATTTGTTAAACACAGCAATGAAACAGCAGAATTAGCTGATATAGAGTGGGACAACCTTGGCTTCGGTTTGATGCCCACCGATTATATGTATATCATGAAATGTACTCAAGGCGGGAGCTTTTCAAACGGTGAATTGCAGCGTTTTGGGAACATTGAATTGAGTCCATCAGCAGGGGTCCTAAATTATGGACAGGTTAGAATGTTGCCACAACGTTCCTGTATTTGAGTATCAGGGAGTTCGGCAAAGCTTATGTTCCTTCTTGGTTAATTTGATCATTCAGCTGGCCTCTTAGGACATAGTATATAAATTTTGGTAGATGTTTATAGATTCTCAAATTCAAGTGATCTGCTGCTTTATTCTCTTTAACTGAAGGAAGTCTCCATTTGTTGTATTGTTATGTTTCAATTAATCCCACATGGAAATCTGATATCGCAAGCAGTAAGACATTAGTGTAATTGGTGAGGAATGAAAATTTTTTCGCTTGTTTATTAAGTGGAAAATTCCAGTTTTGAAGTGTTCAAACGAGTTTTGTGCTTATGATATTGTTCTTTATGTAGAGTTGGTCTTGCACCAATACTTGATTCAGATGCAACTCATGTGTTGGTTAGGGTTAATTGAGAATCTTCTGGGGCTATATTTCTGTGAATGGGATGTGTCTAGATGTGCTTAACTGTGTACCTTGGGACCTCAGTAGCACATATCTAATCTGAGTTATTTCTTATTTTGGTTTGTGAGCTTGTAAGAATCCATCTCTCTTTCTCTCACCAGACATTCCTTTTTTTCGCCTATAGGGATTATTTGAAGGTCTTAAAGCGTACAGGAAAGAAGATGGTAATATTTTGTTGTTTCGACCAGAGGAAAATGCAATGCGATTGAGGAATGGTGCAGAGAGGATGTGCATGCCCGCACCAACTGTTGAACAGTTTGTTGAAGCTGTAAAGGCAACTGTTTTAGCAAACAAACGTTGGGTAATTCGCAGCTTTAATCTATAAGTTGCATTTTTTGCTAATTGTTGGCGCTGCCTCTTATATTAGTGGTTGTTTGTTTCATTTCAGGTACCTCCTCCAGGTAAAGGTTCTCTATATATCAGGCCATTGTTAATGGGAAGTGGTGCTGTTCTTGGTCTTGCTCCATCTCCTGAGTACACCTTTCTGATTTATGTTTCACCTGTGGGAAACTATTTTAAGGTTTGTTACCTTGTTTCACTTGCCTGGTGTAAAGTTAAAATGTGGTCTCAGTCTCTTCTTTGAACTAAATGTTATGAGCTCTTTTTATGATCAAAGTGTATGTGTATTTAGTCATTTCGGGTGAGTTCAACAGCCAAGCTTTATTTTCCTTCAAATTGTCCTCCCTTTTTCATTAAAAAATAAACAAAAAGAATATTGAACTCCCTTGTGTTATTTGTATAAAGCTTTGATGAGTCTAAATTTACAGGACACAACACTTGAGAACTGATGATGACAAATTTGTTCAAGTTTGTTCTTGTCCTTTGAGAGATGCAGTTATTTGCAGTGATGCCTTTGTATGGATTGTATGCATTTCTCTTATCAGAAGAGGTGTATTATAAAAAATGCCCAATGGTGCAACAATGCTAAAGAGACAGCAGAAACTACTTATTCACGGTTCAAAATCTCTGTAAGGTCTTAAAAATATTCCCCTCCCTGAACAAATATAACAATTAACCCACCCAAAACATGGTTCCTTAACAAAAATCCTGAAGTTTTTTAAGGAAGAAGCCTTTCCTTCAAAGTCCATTTGATCCTCTCTTCAAAACTTCTGCAGAATAGAAAGTGGAGGTTGGGTCTAAAATTGCCTTTGCTGTTTAGACTTTGAGGTCTGAAGTCCTAATAATTTTTTTCTTTCAGCTATTAATAAGTTACATGCAATATTATATAGTACCGTCTTTTCATGCCAAATTTCAGGAAGGTGTTGCACCAATTCATTTAATTGTTGAGCATGAATTACATCGTGCAACTCCTGGTGGTACTGGAGGTGTGAAAACTATCGGCAATTACGCTGCAGTAAGTGATCCTTTTACTGGCTGTTATGTTCATCTATTCATGTCTTCTCGTTGTCTTGCTCAATATTTTTCCTCTTTCTTGTAGTCTCGTGTTTTCTATATGTTTCAAGCTTAGTTATTTTGCTTATTCACTGTTTTTAATCTTAGTTCATGGAAGTCAATGTGAAACATTTGTTATTTTAATTTTAGTTTTAGGGGAAATTATCATTTCAGTCCCTGAATAATTTGCCATGCTACAATTAGGTCTTAATTTTTTTTTTTATTATAATTTGGTCCTTAAAACTTATAGAATTCTTTAATTCATGATATTTTTACACAACTATCAAATCTTGAGGGAAAAGACAGAAGTTATTTCTGTTTTCCCCATATTTGTTTTCAATAAATTTATAAAGTTATAACATCTAAAAATTAACCTTAATAATTTTAATAAGAACCATTAATTTTGTTTTATTTAAGGAATGTAGATAATAAGAACATATGTTAAAGAAAAAGAAAAGACCTGCATTGTCCTATATAGAAACATAATATGTTTTTGTCATTTTTTATATCATCAAAGTAATAAAGAAAAATGTTTTTGCTATTTCTGGAAAATTCGTTAAAAAAATCACATTTTTAAACAATTTTGCAAGTTTAGATGCTAAATTATAGTGGGAAAAATGTAGGACTGAATTGCAACATATCCATGTTTCAGCTTAGTTTTAGTATTGCACAATAGTTGAATTCTTCTGAACTTAGTAGCTCCTTCTTTCTCATTACTCAATGTCTTCTCAGTTTTTGCTTGTCTCCATCTTTTGTACTGGGCTTGAGTTTGTTTATTTATAACTTTTGCTCTCTACCTATCCTTAGAAGTCACAAAAGATACTATGATGCTTTTGAATATCCATTAGGATTTATGCTCTGCTTAATGATTAGAATGTCTTATGCGAACAATTTGGGGCTGTTTTGGCAAATAATTATGTGAAAATAATCTATATAAGTTAATATAGCTTTGGAATATCGAAGACTGTGAATCTCAAAGCTGGTAACCATTACAAACCTTCAATGGAGGAAAGTGGATTTGGGATTTTGTTTTCTTTAACTGAAAATGGTGTTATATTGTAATTTATTTTTTATTACGAAATTCTTATTTGCAGGTTCTGATGGCTCAATCTGCTGCGAAAGCCAAGGGATATTCAGATGTTCTATATCTTGATTGTGTTCAAAAGAAATATCTGGAGGAGGTTTCTTCGTGCAATATTTTTGTTGTGAAGGTATTGTGATTGCTGCATGTGCCTTCTGTTTCAAATTTTTATTACTACTCATTTTATCTTTACTTGAAAAAATAGCTTGTAAATCTTATTGTCTATGGCAAATTACTTGAATATTTCTTTGCGCTTTTTCAACATTGAACCTTTAGTCAGAAAAATCATGCTTTGCTAGTGTTCTTAAATGTTATCAGAGATTACATAGAGATTATATCTCTGTGTTTTATCATTCTCTTCAACATCACATGACTGGCTTATGGTAATACTTGACTTCTTTATGTGAATATTTTGGATAAAATTGTGGCAATGCCATGTACTTCGTTGTCATCTTTAACCACACTGCCCTGGTACCTACATGTCCGTCGAGCATATTTCTCTACATTTGTTACTGGTGTCTTGTTGAGGCATTATCTGGTAGAGCGCCAGAATTAACATGTCTTCAATTACTGTATGCTTTCTCAGGATAACTTTATCTCCACTCCAGCAATAAAGGGGACAATCCTGCCCGGTATCACTCGGAAGAGTATAATTGATGTTGCTCGCAGCCAAGGATTCCAGGTAATTTGTCATATAGCTTTCCAGACCAATGGGGAGTATGTGCTCATATGTTTCTAGTCATTTGATTGTGAGGTAGTCTTTTTATGTTTTTCTTTTTTCCCTATGCTTAACTACTTGGTTGCATAAAACATCTGGTGAAAGATGTGAGACTTGCAATTCCAGGCCTGTTGCTCTTTGATGCAGGCCAATACTTTGTTATTTTGAATATCAGTAAGGCTTAGTATTGATCTTTCTAATAGTTTTACTTAGCTGTATGGTATCTTTTACTGGGGACTTTGTCTCACAAACATTGCTCAAAGGGAAAAGCATGCATGATGTGGATGATATTTCTAATTGTTGCTAGCATGTTACATTTCTTCTCTGACAAAAATTTTTGCGCTAATTTGTCCTGTTATTTGTGCTAAGTTCCTGATTCTTGTGTTCACACTTTGGAAGACTTTAGATGTAAAATGTTTTTTTCTTCCAAAACTATATTCTTTTGTTCAAAAGCTTCTTCTTTTAGGACCATTCGACTCTATCGTTCATCTGAAAGGCTATCTTCTTGCTATGTTAGTACTTGATACGAAATCTATTTGCTTATATTGAGTTGTCTTACCTGTCGTCAAACATTTTAATGAAGATATCTTCTTGTAATTTTGGTACTCTTATTTGTAAATTTCATATTTCCTTCTCTCTCTAGTATATATGGCATGTTTCTTTCTTGAATGAGTTCATCTGAAAGGAGCTAGCTGTTTCAATTCTTATATAAGTTCACCTGAAAAGAGCTTAGATATTTCAATTCTGATGCGAGTTCATCTGAACATCAGGAGCTAGGTATTTTAATTCTGGAAAGGATTCTGTGAAAATTAGTGTTGTATTTGGATTTACCTAGGAAGTTCATGGAGATATTTTTCTTACCCTAGTGTATTGCATGAGCCTTTCATTTTCTGGCTTGTCTGCTGATCCAAGTTACACGAATAGTTCTTAAATCACTCCCGCTACTGGATGCATGTAGGTTGAAGAGCGCCTTGTGACAGTGGACGAATTGCTTGATGCTGATGAAGTCTTTTGTACAGGCACAGCGGTTGTTGTGTCCCCTGTTGGTAGCATTACATATAAGGGTAAAAGGTAAGTTCTACATCTTGTTTGGTGAATGCTGGTAGACTTTCTTTAAATCTTCACGCTCCCTCTCTCTATACCTTTGAGAAGGGGAATTTGGAGAAATAGAATGATGGTAAAGAACGTCAAATATAAAGAAAACTATACTTTAGAGAACATCACATGGCACAGATTTTTTTCTCATGGGAATGTAATAGATGTAATCAGTTTCATTTGTTATGGCGTAAGTACAACTTTCTTCTTGTTAGTTTCATTTGTTTATGTTGAAAATCAACTTTAACATAATAGAAAGACTCTTCACCTTACTGAAGTGAAATCCTATTTGTTTGGCCAGCCTAAGCTGATGGAGGTGTTGCACATCAAGCAAACAGTTCATAAACACTAACAAATTTTTTACTTGTACGGCTGTACAGGGTGTCCTATGTAGAAGGGGGATTTGGTGTGGTTTCTCAGCAGCTCTATTCTGTTCTGACCAGACTACAGATGGGTCTCATTGAGGATGAGATGGATTGGACTGTTGAGCTGAATTAGGGGTACTGAAATAGCCAATTGCTGAATGCTTCTTAATTTTATGCCAAGGTAGCCAGTCTCATATCTGTCTTCTGGAAGTTACATACCGTCTATTAATCTACATTCTCTGCTCTGTAGATAGGTTTTCCCCAGTGGTGTCTAATATCTTTTATATGTTTGGTTGGAAATCTGCATGAGTACAGGGAGACGAACAATTGGTAATTTAGTTGTTTTACAAGAACTTTTAATTGCCTTGAGCCCCCACCCTCTATCAAAAGACCATGCGTGTTTATACGTTATGTTATGGCTAATATGAATAGTTAGCTAATCAAGGCATGTAATCGAGTACATGCAGAAATTGTAAAATTTCTTCTTTATTCGATCTGTGGCTTTGGTTTTCTCAATTAGCTGGGTTCTGTTCCTAGCTTTTTTTTGTGGATGAAGATATCCCGTCGTTTAACGTTGTTGAAAATGCTTCTCATAGTTAGATAAGTATTGTTTGAAGTATCTGAGTAGTTTTTGAATTTGAACTCAATTTGTTAAATGAGTTTCATTACAAACTGATAGAGCAATGTCGTATCTAAAATTTATTTGTAACGATTCAGAAACTTCAAATGAGATAAATTATAAATTTAGTGCGGAAGCGAAATAAATAATTAGGATTTATAATAATTACACTATAATTCAGATTACCCAATAAAATTATATGAATGATCCTTTTAAAAGAAATAATAAAAAATTAAAGAAATAAATATAAAATAAATAACTGGACATTTTACTCGCAATCCTCTTGTGGATCGGATTCTGAATTTTAATCTTGTTGATATAAAATAGTTAATGAAAGAATGAGTTATACTAGTTCAGTAAAAATATCACGTTATTTACTGATATAGAAATGAAGATATAAAAATAAAGGTTGATAAAAATCATAAAACAACTAATTGAACTATTAATTTAAGTGAATTCGTTTATCATAAATAAAATCATTTATCGCATACTTATCGTACTGAGATTTTTAAAATACCAACTTATAAAGTCAGTAATATAAACAATATCAAAATCTTATATTTAACCAGTCAGAACAACGATTTTTTCTTTTAACAGTTTATTGGTATCCATTAGGGTTCATAGGGATGTCTTCACTATACGTGAACCTTTATTCAACATTTTCAAATAACAGCATGTCACCATACTCTGTCTGGTATGAGTGCCAAAAGATACCATCCTTCAATACCCATCCGGTATGAGATTAAAACGGACCGTCCCCATACTTCGTTCGGTATGGGTACCAAATTACTAATCCTCGATACCCCATCCTGTATGAGACAATGTTCACAGTTGGGTTCCCTATGTACCTGATCCGTCCACCATATCTCAGAATATCCAGTAAAATTGTCGTTCATCCATCTACTTAATCAAATAATTTTTCGTTTAATTTTAATTTTCAGTTTCTCAATTAACTATAAATTACGTAAACAAGTAATACATGCATAATTAACTATAAATTACGTAAAACAAGTAATACATGCATAAAAAAAACACAATCGAATTATCATATCAATTATAGTGTATTAATATACATTCGAAACTGTAAAATTAATAAATCAGGGAAACATAACAACAGTAATAAATAACCGGTTCCGACTCTATTGGTGACTTGTAATTAATTATGAATATTTTTTAAATTATACAAAATGCTGTATTATTATTAATTAAAGTTAAATTTCATAACAGAAAATAAGATGATGGATTTTTACTCGAATTGGTATTTGAATGCTAAGTTTTTGACTGCATCTATTGGTGGTTCTCGAGTTCATTAAATTTTCCTTTAAAGATTAAAACACGATTTAAGTACCCAGAAATACCTTAAAAAATTCAAAATCAGTATTAGAAACTTTTTTTTAGCAAATTTTGGAATTCTGGTACAGTGACTTTGCCGTGCTTTGACGACGGCACTACCGCTTGCGGTAGCATTTTGCCTCGGGTTGTCTATTTTTAGTCGATTTCGGTCAGTTTTGTATCAATCTCTGTGAGAAAACACGTTAAGGGGTCTTGGTTGGCCGAAAAAAGTCGAAAAATCGAAGCTTACCGGCGGTGGGGTTCTCCGGTGCGGTGGCTTCGCCGGCTCACTTTTACGGTTGGATGTTTTGCTTCAGTCAACCTGTAAAAAAAGAGATGATGATTACAATAGTGAAAAAATTACGCGAAATGTGAATCAGGAAGGGTCTCATTAGAGGCGATTTTTGTTTTTTTCTGTGGTGGCATTGTCAGGATTTACTCGCGGTTTTCGGCTCGTCCGCTGATCATTTTGCTCCGATTTGGTCATCGGAGTGTTCAAAATTAAATTTCGAGCGAATAGAATTTTTTTTACATCTTTTGGCGATCGAAGGCGGCTCCAGCATGACGGCGGCGGCAGTTGACTCCCTTTTCGGCGACTGGCTTTCTTCTCCGTCGGGGGGGGAGAGGAGGGGTCTGGCGGCTAGGGATAGGGTTTGGTATGAAGATGAATATTTATATCTGTCTCTTTTTAATTTGAACTGTCCATTGTGTTTGATTTAAACCGTCCGATCGCGTTTAAATAAAAAATTAATTTGGACCATTCATCGCAATTTGATCTAGGTCGTCCAATCGCGTTTAAATAGAAAGTGGATTTGGACCGTTCATTGCGTTTAATCGTGATTGTCTGATCGCATCTGAAGAGGGATTGGATATGGACTGTCCATGCGTGTAGGAATAAATTCGGACCGTCCGATCGCGGGCACGCAGATCGCCAGCATTGTCTCCCGTGTGACACTACGTCAGCGTACCTTGTCACGCGGCGTGCTCTGATTCGTCGGGATTGCTGACTGAGCATTTTACGTAGCACAATTTTTTTAAATTATATTTTGACCATAAATTTTTCGAATTTTCTTTCAAAAATACCCATAAACTCTAAATTTTTACCATTTTTTTTTAAATTATTTTCAATTTCATTATTCATTTAATTTTCTTCATTTTTACATAAAATAAAAATTCAAAAACTAAAAATTTTTATTTATACGTTAATTTTAATTATATTAAAATTCTATTTGCATATAAAACTCTTATTAAATTTTTTTGGCCATCTAACATAATCCGAGTGCCTTAAATCAGAAACTCATCGCGTGGAGCTGCTGGTTGGACATTTATAGCAAATGGAATGCTTCCATGAAAAATTCAGGTAACTGGGGACGGTACTCGAATTTAATAGCAGGTGCAACTTTAGCATTTTCGGGGGCATTATGTTTTATAGCATTATGATTTAATATCCCGTCATAATAAATGAAAGGTTGCGATATAGAACTGTTAAATTCATGATAAAGATATGGTATCTTCCCAGACGCCATAGAATTTCTCCTATTCATCGTAGATTTTCCCAGAGAAGATAGAATTTCTCCTGTACACGATAGCGATCTAAAATGATCAGTGTCGTCATCCGTATATCCTTCGTTAAACGAGTGTTTAAAGATCGATAGTTCTACTCCTATTACGAGCTACATGGGCCAATTGAAAAGAAGAAATGGTAAGGCCATAGTTGCCCTGACCCAAAACATACGGAACCATTAAATACTTACTAAAATGAGAGAGCCGCAGCAAATCCAGGAAAATATTACCGGTGAGATTTACTTGAAGATAAATATGCACCACCTTTAGACCTTGTATGTTTCTCCTCATGTAAACTTTTCTTTATTGTTATTTAATACGTATTTTGCTTTTCAAGAAACAGAAAAGAGGGAGTCAAGGATTTCATTTTGAGATCATTAATTAATTAATTCAAAAACCACAAGAACAAAGACATTAATGTGTGAAACGAAATGATTCTCTTTTTAATTTGAAAATTGAAAAAGATAAAAAAAGTTTTTGAAATTTATTACATCTTTTGTTCCATTTTCCTTTTTCGTAGAAGCAGTATCTGAGCAGGCATACACGTATACACACACAGAGCCATATGGGTGTGGGATCTCACGTCATGAAATCAAGAAACAAAAATAAATTTGAGTTTTCAATCTACAAGATAAACACATCCATAGACTTGTTCAACACCTTTAAGATTATAGAAAATTAATCTAATCTTGAATATATAAAAGTCACAATCTAATATACACTAATACGGGAGTAATTTGTTACTTTTTTTAAATTAATATTTGCGGTTTAATTTATTTATATATGTATAATATTTAAAAGTTCGTACGTGTATAAAATTGATATAATGAAATTGTCATTAAAAAAAAGAAAAAACCCTAATTCACACGATGTTAGCTTCGTACGTAAAACATGCTTTGAACGTAAAATCTCTTGGATGAAAAGTTTCGTACATTATTAATTGGATTGAAATAAGATAGTCATAATTTTTCTTTGTTTCAACTCTTATAAAATTTACCGGTTGAATTTTTATCTTGTAATACACAATTCCATTTTCCATCTCCTGTTTTTTTTTTTTTTTTTTTTCTGACCATTTGAAACATTCACAAATCTTTTTCCAATGAAACTTCAGAATGAAAATAAAAAAAAAAGAAGAAGAAGAAAGAAACCGTGCATTGACTAACTTTTCATGGAGACCAAAAGAAAGAAGAAAGAAAAAAAAAAAGAAAAAAAGAACAAGGTTAAAATCTCTTTATCCTTAAAAAATGCTTTATGTTGTTGTGGTAGTCAATAATGGAAAAACTTGGTTTAGTCATAAAGATTTACATTTTATTTATAAGAAAATTCTATCGTTATATAACCTTAGTTGCATGCCAACTATAATCTCAATAATAATAATAATAAATAAATAAAAGGGCATACCCAATTGTGTATTGCCAATTATATTATAAATAAGATTTAACAAAATTTTGATTTTATGATATAATTATGATTTTATGTTCATTCACTAATTTTCGTGAATTTTTAATCAATAAAATTAAACTAAAATTAATTCCAATAATTATAAATAGTTTATCATTATATTGATTTTTATCATAAATATATAAGTTTACTGAAATTTTAAGCGTTACACATTATACGAAAATAGAATAAAAAATTAAAAAAATTAAAAATTTATATGTTCAGAGAACAATTAGAACGAATCATGTATAGAAGAATTAATCCATATCAATATTTTGAAAATGGACCAAATGTTTTTGTTTCCTACATAAGTGTTAAAAACTTATTGTCCATGTCTTCAAGTTTCTAGATGTCTAAAACCTTCGAAATAATCATTGAAGCCTTATGTTTTTGCCGGCAAGTTAACACGAAATACACACACTTTGACTTTTTTTAATAAACCATGGTTTGAAATTCGATACCATATTTAACACGTACTTATAATGTTAATTATTAAAATTTTTTTTTTTAAAAAAATTAGCTATTTCAATAGGAGATTCTTCAAGTAGGGGATTTTGATTTGCATAAGCTTGTCACGAAGAACATTTATTTAATTAAATTGTATTCTCTATACATATATGTGTGTGTGTTCATATTCTTATGAAGTCCTTTTTCAAGTGTAATTTAAATACCATTTATTTTAGTTGAGCCCATATATATATATATATATATTTTGGGGTAAATGAAACAATAAAACCTTTAATTAATTAGAATTTAAAATTGTTTTGATGTTAAAAATAGGAGACCAATAAACAAGACAAATTGAAACATAAACCCATGAAGACAAAAATGTCATAATTATGTCATCATTATGAGATATGCTTCTCTATAGGATGCTAGTAATATATATGTATACACACACACACACACATATATATATATATAGATATATGGGTTTATCTTTATAAATTAAGAATATTATTATTTTTAGAGGGTATGCTTTTTTGAAAATTAGTCAGCTTTTGCAATGTCATTGTTGGTAAAAAAAAAAAAAAAAAAAATGATGAAAGGCTTTTTAGCTGTATACCCTTTAAATGGTGAGACCCTTTCAAAGTACCTTCGCAAATATTTCAGTACACACACACAAGGTGGTGGCCAACCAACCAGACCATTTCTTCTTTGACGTGTAGAAAAAGTTGTTTACTACTTTTCCTAATTTGCACTATATTTATATATACATTAAAAATTGTTTTATTCTAACAGTAAATATATTTTCAAAATACCCAATTATATATTAAAAATTGGCTGGTGCATTCAATATTTTATTTTTAAAATGTTATCATAAATGATTAAATTAATAAGTGATAAATTTAATTTAGTAATTTAACATATCTTTTTTTTTTTAAAAAATAAAATTTAAAATGACTGTAGAAAATTTTTAAGAAAATGATGTAAATAAAAAATTAATTTATTCTTGACGCCCATCTTTGACTTTCACCTCCATTCACATCGAGTCAAGTCAGCATTCCTCTTCCCTTCAAAAGAAGCTTAAAATGCCACCTTCTCGTACGCTCGTCCCTTTTTTGTATTTTTATTTTTTTTAAAAATTATTATTATTATTATATTATTAATATTTACAAAAATTTATTCATTTTTTTTTTCTCCTTAAAATAATGCTTTTTTTTAATGAGAAATTTAGAATATATAAATATTTTTATAATTTGTTCGGGACTTTAATTTAGGCTGCTTATTTTATTGACATAAAAAAAATTAATAAAATATATTATAAACTCGACCATCTTCATTTATCTCATCGACCCACTTAAATTAATTTATTTTTTAAAATTAAAATTACCTTACATTTACGTGTGTGTATATATATATGAAAGAATTAATATTGAATTCTGTAGAAAAGCAAAAACGACAGGCAAGAAGGGTCTAAATTGTGACGAAATTGAAATGACAGTGGGCTTCTTCGTCCCCCTGCTTCCCACTCCTACCAGTAAACTAATTATAATATATATACATATATATATAGATATTATGGTGCATATTTAATATTTCATAATTGTCGTGGGTCAATTATATAATTATTAACCAAAAAGCAATTGTCCCTGTTACTTGAAACCTTTGGTAAAATTCAACGTTTTGGTCATTATAAATGTTCATGGTAATTTATTTTAATTTTCTATTGGTCGGACCATTTGGTCACCTACCGTAACAGAATTTACATACCGCCCACATGATTGTATATAATACCACTACTTAAATTGACAATTTCTACCTTTCTAGATCTTTATTAAATTTATCAACATATTATTTGATTAATTAAGAAAAAAAACATTAATTAATTAATTAATTAATTAATTTCAAGCCATAAAGCTTATTTCAATTGATAATAGTATATTCTTTAAGAAAAAAAAATAATATATATATATGTAGTATTACATGTTTAATATCAAGCCATAATTATAATTTACTTCATGATTTCATATGATATATAGTTCACACTACCTAATGCACTAACCTACTAAATACCAATACTATGTGACACTATTATTCAACATATCAAATATGTACATTCATGCAATGTGTTTAGTGTATTAAATATTTTTATTTTGCTCTGTTGAACACATTGAATATACCCTATATGATATATCGATATTATGTGGAGTATCATATGTATATATAATGTCAAAAAGTCAAACCATCACGATCACCATCCAATTACAAGTATCCAACGTCAATTATCTCGTGTCGTGGGGCATCAAGATTCAAGATTATGGGTTGTGGGTCCAGTACTAATTACACAATGATGGTGATCATGGTCAAGAGAAGATCATGATCCATCACGCTAATCGTATCATGCTTTAATTTATGTTTTTTTTTTAATAATAATAAAAGTTAATATGTTCAATTTTATTTATATTTTAATAATATAAAATGAAAAATGAGAACACAATATAAATATAATATAAATCTAGAGTTTAATTCCAAGTTAATTTTTTTGTATTTTTTATTTATATATAAAAAATAAAAAATGTGTAACTGTTAAATTAAAGATAAAAAATTAATTTAATTATAATTCATCAAAATTTTAAATTATAATTAATTTCTATATATATATATATTAAATAATTGATAATTTGATGGTTGTTTTAACTTTTTTATACTAAGTATCTTTATGATGTCAGTCATGATCTCACTTTACCTTCATCCCGAGTGCATGCCGAATACTTCTTATCGGAGCTTCCTTTACCCATCTTGCATTCTTGTAATCCATGCTCGTCATTCATGCGTACTTCATCATTTAATGAATTTGATGTTACAAAGTGTTCATCGTGTTTTTCGATAGTAAATTCATATCTTTTTCTCTAATTACACAATGCTTCGTAAGTTTTTTATATTACACTTAATTGATGTATAAAAATATGTTAAAGTATGAAGCTTATAATTTATTACTGATATAAACTTCAAATGTTGATAAAAGCTTTATTATTTTTTCAAGAATTACCAACAAGAATATAATTCAATAATAAAAATATAAATTACAGTCTTTTTCTTCCAAACATTGTCAATAATTAATTAATTATAGTTACAAAATATAAATATCTATAGAGAGAGAGAGAGAGAGAAGAGAAAAGAGAAAAGAGAAAAGAGAAAGAGTCAAAGTGGATGGCGGGATTAGTGAGATATAATAATAAAAAAAAATAATTATAAAAAAATATTATAATTTGATCATCATAGATTCTGGACAAATAAGAAAAAACCTTGTCTCCTGTTCTGGCATTTCCAATTTCTTCATTATTCTATTCCATAAAGTTTGCATATCTTTTTAATTCTTCACACTCCCACCTTTCATCTTTCGATCCATCTTGTTTCTTTCCTCCTCCAGCTATTATATACTCTCCTTTTTCTCTATCTACACCCATATGATTATATATAACCATCATTATAATTATCAGGGGATAAGACACATAACCCAAGTTTAAGCAACCATCTTTCACTCGCACACTAGAAAAACCAGAAGAAGAAAGCCATGGGTAGAGCTCCCTGCTGTGACAAATCCAGTGTGAAGAAAGGTCCGTGGTCACCTGAGGAAGATGCCCAGCTCAAGGACTATATTGAGAAGAATGGCACTGGCGGAAACTGGATTGCACTCCCACAGAAAATAGGTATATATATATATATATATAGCTGTCTATGTACTTGTATGTGAATCATGATTTAGTCTGTAGCTACCTAGTTAGTGTTGGTTATAGCTAGGCGTATACTGAGAACAAAAAACCGCGACTGTTGAATTTAACTTCAGGGCTTAAGAGGTGTGGGAAAAGCTGTCGGCTTAGATGGTTGAATTATTTGAGGCCTAATATTAAGCACGGAGGGTTTTCTGAGGAAGAAGATAACATTATTTGCAGTCTTTATATCAGTATTGGCAGCAGGTAATTATCATTTTTAGTCATCGGTGCTTTATTAGTTAGGCCTAATTAATATAATTAATTTATGTACAATCATACATATATACTCCTGATTACGTAGGAATTCACATACATGACTGAATATGTATGTACAGGTGGTCTATCATAGCGGCACAATTACCAGGAAGAACAGACAACGATATCAAGAACTACTGGAACACGAGGCTGAAGAAGAAATTTCTGGGTAAACAAAGGAAAGAGCAACAAGCTCGACGATGCATCAAGCAAGAAATCATGAAGAGAGAAAGCCATGATCTTGATCATCAGAATATTTATATGGTTAATCCTGCAGCTAATTCTGGTTCCATGATCATAACCAATCAAACTTTATTCTGGCCAAACCCAGCTCAGCTCTCTCTCGTACATAACAATATTAATCCACTGAACCCAAATCCGTCCCCAGACCAAGCTGCCTCCATTAAAAACTTGCTGATCAAGCTCGGTGGCAGATTTTCAGATCATCATCATGATCGTAATGATGATCATCAACAACAACAGCAGCATATACAACAGCCAAACAGTAGTATCTTCACCTCTGCAGATCTACAGAACATGGTGGCTTTTAATCACCATGTTAATAGTACTTCGCTGATCCCTGAAGAACCAGTAATCTACGAGAGTTCCGCCATGAATGTTGCCAGTACAAGTACTTGTTCGTTGCCAAATACTCAGTTCAATGTCGTAAGCAGTGTTGCAGGAGATCGTGATCACTACCACCATGATCAACAACACGATCATCATCAAGACATGTTCCAGGAGCTTGAGAATTTTCTTAGCGACACGGTGATGTACAGCCATGTGCAGGAGGCAGCGGTGAGTGATAATTACATGGAGATGGTGAACAATGGAAGCACAGGGGGGACGAGTACTAATTCAACGGAAAGCAGCAGCTGGGAGGAGTTCAGCTCTCTGGTTTATCATCATCGTCCTCGGATGGTTTCTGATCATTATGAAACTAATTGCCAGCAGAAGAATGCACTAGTACAAGATCCCACTTTTCAAGATTCAACCTACTTTGGACCACAATAACAGGGATTTTCACATGGGTTTCTGGTGTAAATCTGTTCCCCCTAGGAAATTTTAATCAATTAATTTTAGCTTTCTTGGAGTTTTGAGCTTACAATTTAAAACAATCAAAAATGAAAACTAGGCAAGGAATATTTGTTACTTCAAAAAAAAAAAAAACATTTTACTTGAACATTCTCATATTTCATTTCTATATCTATGCATGAGCTTTATAGAACTTTAGTTTAATTTTCTGTTCTGGATTAATCAAATATTGAATTTTCATGGTTGAATTGAAATGGTTCTAGTCGATTTTTTCTCAATTATAAATGAATTGGGTCAAGGGAAAATTATAATTAAGAGAAGATTAGGGAAAGTTAAAGTGATGTAAAGAAGGAAAAGCACTTGGACATTTTGGCCATGACTTGCTCGGATCTAGCAAAGGAAAGGTATCCAAAAGTGGCAGCATTCCTTCATTGTTATCTTCATTGTCTGTTACAACTATGGGATTTCTGAAAGCACAGGTTATCTCACTATGATCTCTCTCATCCCTCCTTGTACATATATATATATATATGTGTGTGTGTGTGTGCGTGTGTGTTTTCTGTGTATATATATATATATATATGTGTATGTAAGAGCACATACTTGATCACTCACCAAAGGTGTACTTTATTTTTTCTAATAAAATTATGTCCATGACAAGCATGTTACCTAATCAAGTACTGCTTTTATAATCTATACATATATGTATCTATATGTTTGCTTGAAGATTGTTGAAAATTTACTAATATTTATTCAGCAATTTTTTGACCAACTTAATTTACTCTAAAAAAATTATATTATCGTATAATTTTAACCCAAAATATATCATTGAAATGTATTTCTATGTTATTTCTTGTTTAAAAGTAATTAGTATATATATATATATATGTATTATAATTAATAATTAATAAATTTGTTTTTTTTTAAAATAAAAATAAAGCTAAAACAAAATTGACCCCTATGCTATTCTATTACTAGCCTTGACGGATTAATTATTAAAAATCCACCATATTGTTTGAGATTAATAAATAACTAATGAGAAGAAAATAAGTAATTAACAAGAGCATTATAATTGTAATTATATATATGAATAAAATGTTAGATTTTTTATTAAAATTATTTCAATTGAAGAAATTAAATTTAATTTCAATATTTCATATTCACTAATATATTAAGTTAATGTAAATTCCCTACTGTCAGCAAACTATATATATAGTCTATTGATTATTCATCTCTTTAATAAGCTCCCTAGCTAGTTCCTCACTGAAAAGCTATATATATAGATTCAATTTTAACGTTCAATTAAATTCCGCAGCCTATAAAGGCTATAGACATATATGTATGTATATATATATATATATATATATATATATACATGTGTGTGTATGCGGGGGCGTACATACACAACCACAAAACACCCACAAACATATATAGGACAGTGTTATTTGTCAAATTATTAGTATAATAATATATGTTGGACTTTTACTAATAATTGGAAGTTTACTTTTTTTTTAAGAGTAAAATAACACGTACAAAAATTTAGGCTTAATATAAAATATATATTTGAAACATATAATTACAGAACGATTAAAATAATAAAATATATTAAATTGAAATACAAATTCTAAAACATTGTTTTTCCTAATCTTAATTAATTAGTAGGTGTAAGCCAATGTTTTTCATGTTTGATCTAGACTTTACATCTAACCGGAATTTATTTTATTATATATAATTTAAGTGCTTTTTTTTCACTTAATCAACGCAAATAGTAAAAGTACTAAAATACCCTTGATTATGCAATTATTAACCTCAAAAAATATTTTAATAATATCTAAATTATTCTCACTAAATAATTTATATATTTAAAAAAAAATTATCAAATAGTATTATGAACATATAGTAAATTCTTACTAAATAAATTATATTCTTAAAAATTATAAAAAAATTAAAAAATTATTTTATGCCTCTTTTTTTTTTCTTTAATAACAAGTGGTATTATTTGCAGTGGTTATAAAATAAAAATTTATGAATTTAAATAAAATTTTAAGACTTCATTATAATATGATAAATAAAATAATTCAACAATTAAAATAAGTAAATTTGAAATAATAAACATAGTAATTTAATTTTTATTTCAGTATCGTAATCTACCATCTTGTTCTGCATTATCACAACCTAATTGCACGACACTTTGGATAAACTTCCATTCATTGAACCTGTAACATTGTTATTGTATATATGTGTGTGTGTGTGTATATATATATGTAATTACAGTTATTGTGGAAGATGACAAGAAAATATCAGGAATTATGATACATCTTTATCGTGACTAAAAGCTTACTTTGAGGTCAAAACTGGACCTACTCAATGGACGAAATTGATATTTTTATTACATATATATATCATATCTGTAGTTGTTAGAAATTGGATGAAACATTTTGACTTTCCTCTCCATTATATACACACACAGAGACATATATATACATATATATATAGATATATATAGGTTGACAAGGTTTGAAACTCTTGAATTGATTTTGTCAATATACACAGACATTTCTTACTAGGTCCATTTTTTGCTAAGGAAATTTTCATATCACCCATGCAAATTCCCTTATATATATATATATATTACTGTATATAATTTTGCTATTTATTTATTAATTAATTTCTATACATAATAACATGCTAATTTAGTGGTTTACATCTAATCTTCATTACCAATTAATTAATTAATTAATTTTCACACTAATTAATTCGAAAATAACGTGAGGGTGCCGCTGTTTATTTGTGAATAATATTTACCCATTTTACATTTAAAAATTTTGGAGATACATTGGACTTGCTTTTGTTAAGAAAAATCTATATTTATACTGTAAGTAATTGATTGATGATATAAGTAAATCATTGCTTATAATATTATAAGTAACGACTATATTTTTTTCTTTGATGATAGATAAGAAGAAGGTCAGGGTAGAAGTTTCCAAGAGATCGTGCAGGCTTCTCTGCTTTTACTGTCCACCCAAAATCAATCTCTATAATTCAATAACTTCCTGTACTAAATGAATATGTAAGCATTGTAATATATATATATATATATATATATATGTATATATATGTAAGCAATGACATCGTTTCACCAACTAAATGAAATATAGGAGAAAAACAAAAAGTTAAACTGATATTTACAAACACACACATATATTATCTCTCTCTTTTATTTATTTTTTAATAAAATAAAATATTAAAATTAATTAAAGAAAGGGAATCATCGTCGACAATAAGAACCACCATAGAACAAAATGCCTACGAGAATACCAACAAATATATTAATTATTAACTTTTTAAAAGAGCACCATTCTGATGCTTAAATGAAACCTTGATTTAAGCCTTAAGGTCAATCATGTCATGACAAAAACCAGGCGACGACTTATTATTATTAAGATGATATTGACACTCACTAACACCATAATTAATTGTTTAATCCTCTACCAATTTGTTCTAATCTTTAAAGTTATCAAACTTGTTCTTATTAGATTAAATAATTAATTTGTTAATTCCCTTTTGAAAAAGAAATTTTCTTTTTTTATTATTCTTCTTCTTCTTCCAGGAAGAATGGGTTTTTTGAAATTTTTTTGGTTGTCAGTTTGTGTGGAAAAGAATGATAAAAGAGATGGTGATTGTTCATTAATTAATCAAATATATTTTTAATTAACCCGGTGTTTTAGGTTTTGTTTTTTTTTTAATAAAAAAGATAATCTTTAATTATCAAAGTTTAAGATAAAAAAATTAACATTAAATCATATTGAAAAATAAAATATAAGAGCTTAAAATTATTATTATTATTATTATTTATTCTTTTTGTAGAATCTCGAAATTTATAAAATCTATGTGGTTCATCAACTCATGTAATTAACGCAAATAGTCTAATCAAATTTAATCAAAATTTGAATTGATAAATTAATTTCAATTTACCATAAATATATCAAATTTTGTAATTAATAGTTAAATATGAATTATTATGTTATTAAATTTAATATAAAATTCTTTAAAAAATAATATACGCTAGACACGGCCCATCGCTGGCACGAGTCCGATTGGACAGGCTTAATCCATATAACAAGTCGGGTCGGCCTGGTGAATTGGATACCATGACCCAAAATTATGGGCCCGCATCCTTTGAACCCAAAACCTGGAAATTTAGTTGTAAAGTTTGTGTGCAAGTGGTGGCCCAAGAAGTTGAATCGGGCCGCGAAGACCCGAATAGCCCACAAATAATAAATTATTTGGGTTACTTAATTATTGGGTTCATGGGCCCATAAAAGAGATCAATTATATATATATATATAAAATAATTAAACTTTAATAATAAAATAAAAATTAAATAAACAAATATGTTGTTTTTCTTATGCCCTTATCAATATTGTTTTCCTTTCATTATATAAACTTAAAATTTATATTTTTTAAGAAAATTTTCAAATGGGATTGTTTGTTACGCCTTTAAATTATTTCATAATTAAGTGATTACCACGTAATCTATATTTAATTACTGTTTAATATTTGTTAAAAATTTTAATTAACAAATATATTTATTATGCAAAGACCAAATTACATTATTATTATTTTTTTATAAAAAGAAATAAAATTTGAGTTGTAATTATATATAAATGAAATCTATATAGTTTACCTTATTATACAAAGAGCGGGATACTAGGAATTCTTTCCACCCCTTTAGAAGCATTAAAAAAGAAAACATTGACATGTTTTTGAGAAAGAAATGTTATGATTTGATATCCGGAATTACTACTTACTTTTTAAAGTGCTTATACAATATATATGATAATATATATTAATAATTCTCTCCGGTGATTAAAAGAAGAATGTGGGTTTATTTCTATTGCTTTAACTTTTTTTATTTTTATTTTGGTATAATATTCAAGTTTATATGTATAAAAAGAGTGATAGACAAAAGTAGGAGA